CAAATACTTACAGTTTTCTCTCAATAAATTTGTATAATTCTTATCATACATACTACATAATATTTTATGTATCACACTATATATATTATATTATATTGTTCTATGATATAAAAGTAAAGGAAGTGGTTTTTTTTAATTTGTTATAAAGTTTTTTTGGATTTGCTAAAAATCTAGTTGTCCACAAAAATTGAAAATTGGTCTGCAAAATAACGCAAAATAACACATATATTAAAATTTGAAAAAAATCGGAATTGTATATGCTGTCGAAATGGTAATATGTGGTAATGTTATATGCTGTGTGCTTACTGATGATGAGATTTTGATCTGATTTTATTTTAAATTTTATTTTCGATACGAATGTACGGTACAAGTGTACAACGCATACCACAACGTTTTATGCGTAGGTATGGTACCTGCTACCTGCATATAAACACATCCATTTATTATGGGTGAATAATACGGGCTACGTGCGATTATTAAAAAATATGTAAAGATTATAATATAATTATTATAATTATTAAAATATTCGTACCTGCGTAAATAGGAAAATAAGAGAAAATTCCTATAAAATAATTATTATATTATTATTAAATATTATATTAATGTCGTAATATCTAAATTCCTATATACACTCGAAAACAAAAAAAACATCTACGCGGACACGATGACGTGCTGGTCGTGTTGTATCGCGATTTAAAATTCAAAATATTAATTTTTCTCACGATAAAATATTTACCGGGCCTTGATTTATAAATTAGGTATAGGGGTTCGATTATAATATTATATTGTCATTGATTCCAACCATTCGCTTATCAGTTATAGATTGCCGTTTCGCTCGATGACTTGCATTCTATTACATAGTTATAAATTATATAGGTATTGCTTTTTGGGCGTCGCGGCAAAAATGCGAAAGCAATTCCCGCGGCGCCATTGGTTAGTGGTTACAAACTGAAAAAAAAAAGTTATAAATTATAATCAATATAACATTTTTGTAGTAATATAATTTATAATAATATATTAAATTACATTTTTTAATAAATTTAAAACCTGATAAATGACTATATAGTTTGCGATAAATGAATCGCCGTGTCCTATACAATGGAAAACGTAAATTATATTTCTCAAATCGCGTATCACAGGCATGACAAGATCTGTAGTATAATAGCATCCGTTTCCCAGATGTAGGTACATATATGGCTATATCATCAAACCGTAAGAAATACGTCGTTATAACAATATATTCATAATTTTGTTCTTAGAAGTCGAATATAACTTGAATATATTGGATGTAACTATACAAATACCTACCTCGAATAACTGGGCGTCAACTTTCTCGTAGTAACTAGTAAGTACCTACTCTAGGTGAATCACCGAAAAAGTCTTATAAACAAACGATATTTATACCATTTACCGATCATTTTAAAAATCAATTACTAAAACGATTTTCTAAACACATTGAAATAATTTCTGTATTACAAAAGTTGATTCCAAATCTACTCAATAAAATTAAAACTAGTAATAATGATTTTTAAAAATGTTAACACTTTTATAAACATGTTTTACCCGTTTAAAATACATTTGAATCAGAATTAAAAGTATGGATGGAAAATGGAAAAAAGTTCCCGAGAATAAATGTCCTATTGATAATTTGAATAAAGTGTCCGTTGAATTTTTTTCTATTTTATGGTAGGTGATGGTAGGTATTGATGTCAATAATGTTAGTAACTTTAGTCTTTATTGGTATCAACGTAGTCATCAGAAAGAACGATTTCGGCATTAAAACAATTGAAGTCGTACTTGAGAAATAGTACACGCATTGATTTGAGACTTGTATCGAATTTTTCTAAAATTATATAACACACAATAAGTATCTATATATAGGTAATTTATGTTAAGAGTACAAACAAAATATTGTACACCATTATACCTACTATGATGTATTACATATGAATGTATAAATTCTATAAAACGCATTATAAATATTGTGAACATATTATAAATATTGATTCACTTATGCAATATTTTTCCTTCACTTCCACTAACGTATCCTGTCTTACAGCCTGGTACATGGCATTTATTTGGCATTTTCAATTATTTAATTTGCATATTAAACTTTTAAAATAATATTTTAAAACTTAATATAATATTTATTGTTCGGTAACTTAACAGTCAATAGTAGACATTTAAATGGACAGTCGTAGTTCTTTCAACAATTCTAATAAATTTGGAACAATATTGGGAAGGGATTTATATTTTAAACACTATTTGTTATGACTGGAAGTCTACCTCTAAATGTTTATTTCATTGAATTCGTGACTATATTAATTTATACTATACATTTTTATTTATATCAACTTGCTAATATGATATAAGCATAATATATCATATGAATTATGAAATTCGAACAATATTATACATTAGTATGGTCTATCGTCTATACTCTATATTTAATGCACCGTAATAGCATATAACCGGCCTTCGAGTAATGTGGCGGTATTCATGTTAACTAAATTTGTGCCGTCAAAAATTCACAGACTTCTACATAATACAGAATTATATAGAAGTCTGTGCAAAAATTGTGCCACTTTTTTCACGGAGTGTTATCACCTTCTCTTCTCTACATCGTGGATTGACCATCCAGCAATAACAGTTGCGATTTCCGAGTGTGGGACTGGGGATTATGTGTTGTCGGCAACTGGCAAGGACTAAACTGTAAAACAATTAAACAAATTTCTAGTTCCATAAGTATCCACTGAGGCAGCGCTAGTATTGCTGAAAGGAAAATATCCCCCCGAACTCCGTCTGTTGTACAATTGTACTACATTTCGTCGTCACCCCACCACCGCACCCTCCAAAAGTGTCGTGTCAAGTCCGTTATAACCAATAGCAATTAACAATAAAGATAAAATAAAATCAATAAAATCAACAATAAGTGTATCCCGGTTACCACTGTTTGACACGGTGTACCTATTGGCGCCCGCATGGTTTACCTGGTGGTGCACCACGCAATGTATGACCTGGTTCGCCGTATAGTTCGCCCGGTTTACAATGGTGTACACGATTGCACCCAGTGGACAGCGGTCGGATACCACTCGGTGGAAAGCCCGTCAGATCCGTCGTCGACGGGTCATAGACTCTGAACTACGGAGGTTGATGGTCTGAAGCGGTCAGAATCCCAGTTGGTGACCGCGATGGTTGCCAAAGTGCCAAACTAATGTCTGGTTGTAATTATATTCAGCTTCGTCTTACCTGTTACATAGAGCGATCTCCGCACAGTAGGTACCTATATAGTTCAATATCCAACTAGATTCGACTGGAGGATACAGAAGACGACTCAGCTTTGGACATCTGCTCGCCTCCGATATCTTTGAATATCTGTTTGATAGGAGATATGTACGTCGCACCTACCTAATATTCCATAAAATTAAAAACAAAATGTAAGAAAAATGTTTTCAAATTTACATTAGTCGTAGTGATGAGGCCGTCAAAATATTAGTCATTTTAATAATTTGGAGTCGTTCAAAAATTATGTAAAATGTTTTGATCTGTCTATTATATAATTTATTTGTTAACTTTAAAAATAGTATTAAATACTATGTTTTTAAATATAATATATTTTTGTTCTTCTTAATTTTATCTTTTACTCTATTTATAATATTGCATAACTATACTTTGCTACTTCTTAATATCGACAATTACTAATTTATTATTTTATCTATTAATTTTAAGTTAAAATAATATAAGAACCGCTCCCCCAGCACAAGCTATGCTTTTTAGGGGGTGCTGCAACTAATTAATTTACGTATTTATATAATGTGTCTCATGTTGTTTTGCAAAATAAAGTATTATTATATTATTATAATATAACTATAAGTAATTTATTGCCTTTTTGGCTTTGGATAAATTTTAGCATTATTTTATTTTTAAACTATAAAACCGTTAATTAAATAATATAATTTAAGACTATTAGCTAATAGTTCACGACACGAATTGTAGTTAATGATATAAAACGTCAAACGACACACTATACACCAGCGGTTCCCAAACTTTTTTAGCTCACGGCGCCCTTTTTGAACTAAACTTTTCTCAAGGCGCCCTTCCCAAGACATAGCATGAATTTATTTTTAGACCAGGTAAATTTCTACGGTGACGCGGCGCCCCTTACAAGACATCGCGGCGCACCAGGGCGCCGCGGCGCACAGTTTGGGAACCGCTGCTATACACTATTAAGAGGACGTTATACCGCTCATTTTCGACGGTAAAAACATGTTCACGCAAAACAGTCAAAACGACACTAAAAAGTGGTTTTAGAGTTAAAATACCTATGATGAAATTTATAGAGAACAATATTTTGGAGATAATGTCATATCCATTTTACAAAAAAATATTTAGTAAAATAATTACAGCTAATTAAAAAACGTAAAATTTGTCTATTTTGTATTTTAATTTGTTAGTTATATAATAGCAATATTAAAAAACGCATATGATGTTTTATCCGAAATATTGTTTTCTTTCGATTTTATTTAAGGTATTTTTGCTCTAAAACCACTATAAAGAGAGCAATTACAGTTTTCCGTAGTTATGTTTTTAACGTTTTAGTCGTACTTTTCAATATTTATCATGCCATATTGTGCTGCTTCAAGTGGTGTATTTTATAAATATAATTTTCAATTAATTGGCATGATGGGAGGTGGTAGCGGGTGCTCGCCGTCGACGGTGTTATCGATAATTCTAAGAATAGTAATAACTAATAAGTACTAATGACTTATTATTATTATTGTTGTTATTAATAATAGTATTATTATTCGTCCCGTATATTTTATTCATATGACTTTATTTTATGAATACGGATTTACGAAAATAAGAAATTAAGTTTATTATAATTATTATTAGTCATTCTGACTTGAGTACTCAGACTATACAGTATACACCTTTGGTTACAGGTCTATATTATTTTATTTTATTTTTCCTAGCGTTTTTTATAATAATTTTTAAATAATATGGCAAATAAAACAAACAAAGTTAAACGCCCATCTAGAAAAAATATATCTAGTAAACTTATTTTAAAGCGGTATAATAAAAACAAAAGGTAAGTTTTTACAATATTATTAATTTCTTTTTGATATAAAATGTATAAAATAGTTAAGTATTTTCATACCGTAAGTTTAAATTATAGAATGAACTCCACTTTATTCTTTTATTATAATATTATATAAATACAATAATACCTATAATATATAAATTATTATAAATAATTAAAAAATATCATTTTTATATAATATTTTTTAAGTTGTACTTCTAGTCCACTACCATTGGGTGAAACTTCTATGGAAATAATAAATGAGTCTGATACTTCAACTACTACATTGGTTTCTAATAGGTTTGTTAATTTTTTAGTAATATATAAATTATTATAAATAATTAAAAAATATCATTTTTATATAATATTTTTTAAGTTGTACTTCTAGTCCACTACCATTGGGTGAAACTTCTATGGAAATAATAAATGAGACTGATACTTCAAGTACTACATTGGTTTCTAATAGGTTTGTTAATTTTTTAGTAATAAGCTTATACATTCATTATAAATTATTCAATTATTGTTATTTTAATATTTAATAAGTTTTAACAACCAAATTACAAGATATATTAAACGTGACCACAAGTTCCGCTTTCAAGCTTAGTGTCCCGCTGTCCAAAGGTGTAAACACTCATAGGCCATAGTCTATATAGTCTATAAATAAAAATCATAAAAAAATAAGTACCTAATTCGTATTTTAAATTTAAATAAGTCGTTATTTCGGATTTGCGGATCCAAAAAATATAAAAATCCAGCTAAATATTATAATTTAATTTACCATTTGTCTGTTTTTGTTTTGTAATTTTTATAAAAATAATTATTGTTTTACACTGTGAAATGTGTTTTACTATATTTTTAGTATTATCATTTTTCGAAAAAACTTATTATGGTTTTCCTATTGAAATTTACAAGTGTCTTGCTTTGAGTAAAAAATATTATGGTCACGTTAGGTACCTATATTCGACACCTACTTTCCCGCTTTTTTTAAAATTGCTATTAGTTATAATTTTACAACTAATTTATAATTGTTATAATGCTAGAGTTAAAGTTAATGTTTTTTCAAACGATGAAATTCATATTCCCGGAGTTAATATATTAGATTCTATTGAAGATAATAGTATAACGCCATGTGAAAATATTGATTTACATGAACTAGAAACTGTCAAAGATCCAGAAATCGAAAACTCCTCAACAGAGTATGTTTATAACATTTATAATATAATTCTGAGATAAAATAAATATGTTTGAATTTATAAGTTACTATGATAACTACTTAAAAATTTTCAGAATAATAACTAATGAAATAGACGGACTTAGAATAGTTGACATGTCTTATATATTTTTTCAAATACAAAATATCAAGCATGACGGTGGATTTGATTGTAATTTTATGAATATGAATTTTGTAAAAGAAATTCGTTCAGGTTTTTATTCTGATTTTTTGTTTAAATGCAAAATGTGTAATTTAGAAAAAAAAATTAGTTCTACTAAAATTGTACCCGATAGCCATTGGTCTATCAATAAAGCTGCTGTAAGTAGCTCTATCGCAATAGGTAAGTAAGCAAGATATACAATAACAAAAATATCAAACAAAAAATATAAATTTTAAAACATTTGGGAAATTGTATTTAGGAATAGGTTATACACAGTTATCCGAATTGTTTTCTGGATTAGAAATACCATCAATGTCTCCTACTACATATATTTCAATAGAAAGTAATTTACAACCTGAAATTAAAAATACAGCATGGAGTGAGATGCAAAAAGCCGGCGAAGAAGAGAAGAAATTGGCAATAGAATCCGGTGATATCGATACAGATGGGATTCCTTTAATAACTGTGGTGACAGACGGACAGTGGTCTAAGAGAAGTTATAGCACGAAATACGATGCATTATCGGGAGTAGTAAGTATTGAAATAAGCATAATTTTTTAAAAATAATAAGTTAATTGTAATACAATTATTTTTATTTTAGGCTAGTATAATCGGTTATAAAACAAAAAAGATTTTGTTTGTCGGGATTAGAAATCGATACTGCGTAACATGTGAGAGAGCGTTGAATAAAAAAATTGAAATTCCAAATCATTTTTGTTTTATGAATTGGAAAAAGGGAGCCACGAGTATTGAGGCGGATGGAATTGCTGAAGGATTTAAGAAAAGTATTGAGTTGCACGGAGTTAAATTTTCTAAATTGATCGGTAATAATATATAAAATATAAATATCTAAATTTACTATTAATTTTATCCATTAATATATTTAATGTTTTTTGTAACTCATAAATATAATAAAATAAAATAATATAAATAATACAATTTTAAATAATATAATACACATGTGTCATTACTTATTTAGGCGACGGAGACAGTAGCGTTATGAAGCGACTAAATGAGGTACTTCCATATGGACCGTCATTGAGAGTGCAAAAAATTGAATGTAGGAATCATTTATTGAGAAACTATTCTAAAAAAATGATGGCATTGAGTAAAAGAACAGACCTTCCAATCGAAATAAGAAAAAAAATACAGAACAACATTATTAGGCTAAGAACTGACATAACTTGTGCTATAAAATTTCATAATCAACAAAATAAATCACTATCTCAAAAGATCTCAGGTAAAACTAATATGCGATGAATATATTTTCAAAATTTTTTAAAAAAAAACTGTTAAAACAACGTAGATGTAATATTGTAATAAATTTTAAAGTGTTTTGACTTCGAGAAAATATTTTTAAAAAAAATTGAATATTTCAACTGTCTATAAATAATTAAAAAAAAGTCAAAACATTTTGATTATATATACAACGTGTTTTTCTTTTTTTTCCCCAATTATTTTGAAAGGTATTGTGAATTTTAAAAAACTTAATATTATAGGTCTCAGATTTGATATATCCAACGCACCATATCATCGATTATTTGATAATCATGAAAAATGTTCTACATATTTTTGCAAAGAAAAAAACAATACGTCCACGGAATTAAATGTCAACAAAAAATGTATATCATCTATATCTAGAGAAATTGATATTATTGTTTCTCGTTTATCAAAAAACGCAGATAGTTTGATACTCGATGTAGACAATAATATTTGTGAACAATTGAATAGCACAATCAATAAGTTTTTGGGAGGTAAACGAATTAATTTTTCCCAAAAAAGTTCATATATAACTAGAGTAAATGCAGCAGTTATAAGTTTTAATTCCAAAGAATATTTACGTGCAATTAAAAAACACGTGACAAATACTAGCCCAGGTAATTCTTAAATGCATTGTTATAAATAAAAATAAAATTTTAATTTATCTAATCTATCATGTTCTGATTTAGGAAAAGTTGGAAAAAGTTTTTTAAAACGCATATTAGATAAACGTAGTGTATGTCAAAAAAGGAGAAAAGTTCTTAAAACAATTTCAAAGACGACAAAAACATATAAAAAAAGTACGACAGCTGATAAATATTATGGTAATGCTGATGAGTTGGACAATGTAAGAAGCATTAACGACCAAGGTTTAATTAATGAAATGAATGCATTTATTAGGTAATGTTTAGTAATATTAGGTATCCAAAGTCTTATATAATGTTTTTTATAAGTTATAACTGTTTAACTTATATTTGTATTATTGTAGAGTACTAAACGACGTCGATCGATCAAATATTGAAATCGAGACCCGAGATCAAGCAGCTAGTGAAAAATGGAAACGTGAACGATTGTCAAGACTTACAGCTAGTAATTTTGGTCGCATTTGCAAGATGCGGCCAAGTACGAGTTGCAAAAATACTATTTATTCTATTTTGTATAATAATTTCAGTTGCAAGTAAGTATAACATATTGACGCGTTACACAATAATTGTTTAAATAAATAGATTCAAGAAAACTAATATTTCATAGATCAGTACAGTATGGTAGAGACATGGAAAATATTGCAAAACAATGTTTTGAAAATATGTTTAATCGCCAAGTAGTGTCTTGTGGTTTATTTATAGATATGGAGTATTCATTTCTTGCTGCAAGTCCTGGTAAGTCTATCAGTTATTAAGTTTAGCTTGCAGTTAATAATTTATTTATTTGGTACATAGTAAAATTAATTTACTTACATTATTATTTAGATGGTATCATTGATAATAATGCTATTGTTGAAATTAAAGCACCGTATGCAGCAAAAGATACTTTAAATATAAATGAAGCCGTAGAGAGTGGTAAAGTAAGTAAGCATCAAATATAAACAATAATTTTTGTATTCCTAACTAGTCAATAATCAGTTATATGTCAATATGTCATAGAAATTTAATTAGCTTATAATTTTTACTTCCTTATACTAACATTATTATTTATATTCATATAATATATATATAGCTAAAATACTGTACAATTGTAAATGGTCAATTGAAATTAAAAAGTACCCATGATTACTTTTACCAAGTTCAAGGACAGCTACATATAACACATAGGGAAATGTGTTATTTTATAATATATACACCAAACTGGACATCGGTTGAAAAAATATTTTACGATCATGATTTTTGGTCATCGAAAATGGTGGATAAATTAAAACAGTGAGTTTGCTCATTTTATTTAGATTAATAAATTTTAATTTTATTTATAGTTTAAATATTTTTTTTCTAGTTTTTATTTAAACTGTTTACTACCCGAAATAGTTGATCCAGTTTTTAAACATCGTTTAATGATATCCGACATACGAGAACCAAATAAATCCGAAGCAGTAAAATCGACAGTCAAAACAAAATTGTTTTAATTTGTTATACATATTATATTTGTTATATATTTTTAAATAAAAAGTAATATGTTTGTATTTCAAAAGAATTGGCAAATAATTTACCAATAGGTAATATTTACAACAAAACTACCTATTATAAAAATTGTAGAGGAGAACTTTTTTAACAAACGTAAGGAATCCGATTTTTGATATCGTATTCTTATTGTCCAATATCACATGGTAAACTAACACGGTTTTGAAATATTTATCGATTAATTATTTAACTAATTAATAAAAATATCGAAAATCAGGCTTATTACGATTCTTAAAAATTCTTCTCTATAACTTTTATTATAGGTAGTTTTGATGTAAACCATTTTAATAAGCCGAATTACTATATAATTACTATATTTATATGCGTACAATATTAACAAATTTTTCAAAATTTATTGATATTTATAAAAAAAAAAATTAAAAAAATTGAAAACTGACTATGTCCGTAATCAGCTCAAAAAGAGTTAAAATATTTTCAAAAATGAGAATATAAACATTCAGTGTAGTTTTCATGTATCTACAGTTATTCGTTTTTGAATTACAACAAAATAAGGAAATCGCTACACGAGAAATCGACTGAATATCCAATGTTGTAAAAATTTGAATTTCAAACGCTCATAAAAATTTAATTTGACTTTGTTATAGACATTTGTTTTGATAAAGGTAGATAATTTTATAAGGAATCTTGTATTACATTTTAAAATCTTAGATTTAAAAAGAAAAATTTTTACGAATTCTTAACTCAAAATAATTTGCTAATTTTCGTGATTTTTCCATATTTTGTCAATTTTTGAACTTTAAATGCTTATAAAAGAAAACTGTGACTAAGGATTTTTATTATTTTTCATTATATATATGAATTATTAATACAATTATATTGGTATTTTTTTTAAGTTTAGCATTCATTATACTTTTCAGATTTTACGAAGAATGTTTACTACCTAAAATTGTTGATTCTTAAGTCTCAATACAGAAAACGAATGCAAAAAAGTGATATTATTGACCCCCCACACATCACTAACATCAGGAAATTATTGCTCGTTACCATTTTATTATATTAATATAATATAATTATAATTTTTTTTAAATTAAAATATGGTGATAAACTGATAAATAATAGGTCACATACTAAATAACTAAATCTATTGATTGATTTTATACATTTGATAAACTGTAATTAATTTAATTGTGTAATACTTATATAGTAGTTTGTATAGCAATTTTAAACTAACAGTTACTTATATAAATAATTTTTTGCTCAATTTACGTTACAATTTATTAACATTATATTATAGAACTATACATTTTAAATTAGTTATTTTTAGGCAGTGATTGTACCCGATCTCTAAAAAATATAGATTGATAAATAATGATTTTAGAGCATTATTATTATCATTACGAGTATATATTATTTAATAGGTATACCTACCACCAACATATTATTATTTTAAAAAATATTTGTAATTACTTATTGTCATATTTTAATATAACATTAACAGTTGAACGTAAAAGATAAAACACAGACAATTAATATTAATTTAATTGCGCTGTATTTATTTTATTTATGATTTATTAGATTTTACTATAAGTATTATATTTAAATAAGTAATAATTCAATAACTACAAATCAAGCTATGTTATAATACAGTTTCTACGATCTATATATTGGGACATAAATTTAGGTAAACAGTATCTTAGTTTAAAATCGGCAAATCATAGGTACGCGAGGGTATTGAAAATATTACGGCGGCATTTGCGTATAATGAATTATAATGATACGAATCGCACCAGACGAAAGCTCTTAGACAAATAAACAGCGCTCCCGAACGAGCACTCGTCGCCGCCGTCGGCCGGTTGCGAATTTCGAATAGTAGGCGTGACTTAAACGCCGCGCGCTTGCGGATCGTGAAAACACCTAACAGCGCATCCTCTCGGTCGTTGCATGCGTACAGCTTTGGGTGACACGTCCTCTTAACAAAATAACGAATAACAGACACTGAATTTAGATAGGTAATTGTTGTGCGATTATTAGGTACTAATCTAATCTTAATCGCAACTTTTATAATGAAGTTTAAATTTTGAATTAATTATTACTCGAGATATTTTGTCATGGAATATTTTTGTCTTGTGATATTTTGTCGGAGATATTTTTACCGGGATATTTTGTCGTGGAACCAAAAATACATACCTGAGTTATATTTTTTTTATTCCCCTTGAGATTCTATATATCGAAACTCGATAGAATTATATTTTTTTTTCTATTGTTCTGTATTTTTAATGAATCTAAAACACGAATATTAGTGCGAATAATAAAATAAATGTATCAAATAGTACAGTGCGTCTTTAATAATATAGGTACTCAAGTCGAAACATATCTCATCGCATCATGACCTGCTATAGGAAACTAGTGTATTATATTTTTAAAATTATTATTAAACATCAATTCAGTGGGTACCTAGGTAGGTAGGTATGAGTAGAATTAATGTAATTCCCAGTGTTTATAATTCAGAATTTTGTCTTATAAAAGTGAATATGAGTAAATAGGACGACTTATTATTATGAGTTGCGAAAATCGTGATGAGAATAATATTAGGCATTAGTGTGAGAATAAATACCTACTCGTTATATTAAATGGTATCATAATAATATCTTATTATTATTTCACTATATCATTTATTTCATTATTGTGTTTGACCGAGAACAGAACGGATTTGGTTACGAGTAAAAGTCGGTACCTATCATAATATTTGTTAAACCAATTTAAATGTGCTTAATGTATTAATATATAGTTTATCCGTTATTTGTAGAGATAATATTTAACATAAAACAATAACGATATAGGTACATAATAAATCATCTTTAATTAATATTTATAGTGTACCCACTATGCATAGGTACTTGAGTAGTTATCGATTTTATTTGTTACACTTGTATATGTAAAATATTGTAATATTATCTATATCGTGTCGACTGTCGGCTATGCAGGAGTTAAGAAGAGTCAACTGTGTAAGTGTGTGGTATGAAAAAATATTATGCACTTTTGTTTTTAATTTGATTATGTTTCTAGTTTTAAACAAAATAAAAAATGTCTAGTAACTTTGTATAATATGTATAATACACTTTGTTTTTTAGACGGTATTATTTATGTACCTACTATGCATGTCTATATTGTGTATTTATTTATTTATTTAGGCGTACATTTGTATTTTGTAAAATTATATTTTCTATTGTTATTATTCTATCTGAAAAGTATTTAAAATATTTTTTCTACTAATTATTACTTAGTCATCTCACAGTTTTAAACTACATATACCATACCACTTGCACTAAGGCACTAACAAATTTTGTTTAACGACAATACTAAAAAAAAAATAATAATCTTTTATAGGTACGAATAATTGGGTTACATACATAAGACGACAACATTGGAATATTTTATTCCATTTAAAATCATAAGGAATACACATGGAAAGTTTTTTGAAACTCTCGCACTGGTCAATTTTTGTTTAAAACAATTTATTTTAAGATAATTTTTACTACCAATGGTCATCATTTTTTAAATGGAGTTTCTTTTCTTCGTGAATAAATAAGTTAAAACTTCAGCTTTTTTTTAATTTTCTATATAAATATGGGTTTCATAGTACTAACAAAATTTAACAGTATAATAATAAACCGTCTAAAGAACAGCTCCAATACATAATATAAAGAAACCTATTTAGTAAGTAACCCTAACGACAAATTATGACTAATTAAATATTGATACTTTATATTTTGCACTTAAATTTTTATAGGCGTTACTATACGGGTTGCATACTTGCATCGGATATTTTAAATGCTGCCTACGGTTCTCCAAAATTACGTGCCATTTTTATTTTTGCTAAAATGAGCTGTCAAATTAACCATGAAAAAAATGTAATAATAATATTAATTATTATTATTTAACTATTGAGTATTTAAAAACTAAACTCTTGTGATATAACCAGGGGTTAAAGTGGGGGGGGGGGGGGGCAGTCCCTCTACCTCTGACGGTGGTTAAAAAGCGTCCCATTTAACAAATTGTACAAACATAAAATTGTATATGGAACGAACGCTTAAAACTATATGGAGACATTTAGTCCCCTCTGGAATTTTTTTCCACTTTAACCCCTGGATATAACTGTCGTAGAGCGGTAGCTTGTAATACTAAACATATTATAAAATATTTAATATATACACAGAATATCATATCTATATAAAATCATTAAATTGTTGATACATTTAATAAACTAATAAAAAAAGTACATAATAATTGTAATATTTATCAAAACTATTGTTACATGAACAAACTATTTTTCATCTATTTTTATTCTTTTTTGAACAAAACTGTGCCTAATCATTTAATACAGGTAATTATTACAACGAAATAGATAGAAAGAAAAAAAGTTAAACTTAACACCTACTCAAATTGTATATGATATAATCAAAAGATTAAGAACATAAAATAATTTGTCACACTGATGAATTTGTATGACATAAATGTTGACTGTAAATATATTATTTCGAGTAGAACATATAGGTAAGTACCTATAACTAGAGATACCTACTAAAAGATACAGTGATTATAGAAAAATTACAACAATGAAAATAAAACATATAGCTGGGACGATGACATAATATAAGTAGGTACGTGATTTTTATTAGATTTAACGAATTATTAATTTATTTTTTTACATTTTTATGTTGTGTTTATTATGTATAATATTATTATGAATTTTTTTCCTTTTTTTATTAAACTTGTGGTTTTAGGTATAATATATTATGTATTAGCACTATTATTATTGGCATTTTAAAACCGAACTCCACAAGAAGAAAATAGAAAAAAATCACTGATTCTCGACTATAAGTAACACCTATATGAGTTCTAATATTTACTACAGTAACCATAGGTGGTCTTAGGATTTGGGTTTTGAAAGAAATGTAATCTCGTACAAATTTTAAACATATTA